TCAAATAAACTTTCATCACAATTCATTATTAGCTTGTAGTATAATTTTTACTTGAAATAAGTTCATCATTTTAAATAGAAATGACTCTCATTAGCAGATTTCAATCAATTGAATATTTTATTCTTATATTTCTATTGATATTCTTCCAAAAGACGTCGTTGAGCTTTCGAACTTATGAAACACTCTTTATACGCAGAGTATGTTTGTAGACATGTAAGAAAACAAGCGAAAGTGTAAAGACACATCGTAAGATATCATCTTGGATTATATCTCCTATAAATGATATTATATTCGTGGTGTCCTGATGAGTATGTCCTCGAAAAGATCAATTTCGTATGTTCAGATAATATCTCATTGATATGATGCTTTAATATTTGAATAGAATTCTTTAATCTGGCAAACTTTGTTATCATTATTTTGCACTAGATATTAAAATGCTGTTACGAACTTGTAGTTCAATGGATTCAAAAACTTTCCCAAGAAAGCGCCTCGACCAAGCACGTATATAAAAAAAAGCTTCAAGAAAAGAAAAACACATATGTTTTTCATTCAAAAAGTCATTTTCTTTACAAAAAAAAAATCGTTTTTGTTTCTACTCTTTCTTGTCCATCGTGCTGCCCGATCCAAGTGTGCCGTAACCAATGTGTTATCCCATCTATGAAAAAACAGTATACATTCATGCTATGACTCTCATAAACTGTATGGATCTGTTGAAAAAAACGAATTACTAACTTAGAGTGAATATTGATGGACTAATGCCAATGTTAGCCTGAACAAAAACTTGTAGATTTGTAAAACATTAAATTAGGTGCTTACTACTTTTCGACCTTCTTGACTACAATTTAATTCATGTAACGATTGCTATAATAAAAATGAAAAGATATTTCATTCGAAATAAAAGAAACCATTCTTACCGAAAGAATAAACATCTTTTTCGCTAATTGTTTATTACCTGGTTCTGCTGACAGTTCTAAGGATAGCTAAAAACAGATGAAAACCAAATAAATTGAAAAAAATTATTAAGTAATTGAATTACATCAACTATGTGTTTAAGTAAAACTCGACGGCGATTATCGATATCTTTGCTTGTAGGATCCATCACGAATATATACTAAAGATAATGAAATAAAAAACTAAAATCAAATATATCATCTAATCAAATACCAGCTATTTTTTCCTTAATTAAAATAACTTTAATTTCTTTTTTTGATATCTTCTAAAATAAGAAAATAAATTAGGAGTTTACGATAATGCGAAAAAGTATGGTTTACTTATTCAATTAACTCCTGTTTTGAATCTTTAGATTATGAAAAATAATCCGTCTTTTTACCACGGATATATGATAACAAAACAAACAATCAATAACTTTTATATAAAGATTTGTGTTGATGTGTTTAATAAGCCGTCTAGTTGAAGTTTGTACTTATTATCTATAACATGACATACAATAAAGACTAGTAAGAAGTATAGGGTAAAAGTCAATATTTTTTTTATAGGTATATATGGTATACTGAAGTAAAATAGAAAAGGATAAATAAACGAACAACAGAAACACATGTTTAGTCTACGATCAGATGTGAAAAATGACGAGTTTTTCGAGGGTACTATAACTAAAAATGATTGAATGAAAATTTCACAGAAAATTAATCTATTTTCATATCTACAAAATCGTCTTATACCAGAAAGTATGCCAAAGATATTTAAAGACAGAAAAATTAAATTTATTTTTGTGAAAATTTCACCCGATTATGTTGAGCTTTACCGAACTCAGAATTGTTACACTCTTTATCACCAGACCATGGACTAATATAATTTGCTATTTGTCAAACCTAATCCTCTAAATGCTATATTTTTCTTCATGTTATTTCCAGTGTATTTCTACCGTCTGCGTACGATACTTTTCGACATGCGGCACAATATTACTGTTTTACTTAGCTTCCTATTCTATATAGAAATTGGAACTGTAGCAATACACAAATATAATGTTGTTGTTTACTAACTGAATTTAACCTCTTCATTTTTGTTCCAATAGTATTACCTCAAGAGTGTAACATACTATTCAATACATGGCTCCTGTTAACATTCTCATCAAAAAAATGAAAAAGCTGTTAGCGTAATTTCTGCAGGATTGAAATGTCTGAACACGATGCAGTATTTGCTACTAGTGATACAGATATTACTTTCTTCGATATGTCTTCGGACTCAATTATTCATCATTTTTTCTTATCCCTTTACAACTGCAATCATAAGGCAGTTGATATATTCTCATGAGGTTATAGAGACATTTAACCGTAATTCGTGTAACAAAAGGTCTATCAAGGTCCCGGGGAAGGGTTCTAAATTTCTACCGCTATATACTTCAACACTCATTTCGGATCATGTTTCAAAAAATAAGACAAATCAAAAACAAGCTACTGTACTTGTTGAATTCATTGTCAGTCATTGTGCCAATGAGAATACTGATGATCATATCATTTTTACTAATAGTTAATTATGGATAAACGATAAAACACAAATCAAGAACAACAGAAAACTTACTAAATTGTATTTCTTCGCTTTCGCATATATTTATTTATTCGCTTATTTTTTCTTTTCTTTTTCTTTTTATTATTCATGATACTAACACAAAAATGTTAATAGTTAATGATAAACAAGGAAAAAACAATATTACTTTTCGAAAAATGAACTAAAAACTATGGAAAAATAATACGATTAAATGAGAACCAAAGAAAAAGGATTATGTAAATTTTACTTTTAATGGAATTCGAAAAATTTACTTTTTTTGAGTTTCTTTTTTGCTTTACTAATGTTTTTTACATAGTGTTCTTTGAAAATGGCAATGATCTTGATGAATATTGAGGAGAAGATCCTTCAGCAATAAAGGTATTTTTTTACAGCTTAGAAAATAGAACAATAAAATGATTCATGAATCAGAGTGCGCAGTCTTCATGGAATAGAAATGCGAAATAATATGAGTTGGTTTTCTATTGTAAACAACAAGATTTTAGGAATCACTAAATGTTAGCACGTATTGACACACTTTCAGGTAAAAAAAAAGTATTGTTTTCGTAAATGACAAAAAAGGAATCGACAATACCTATCATGCAAGTTATAAATGGTTTCAATGACCAAGAATAGGTATGCAATTGGACTGACGAGGTAAGATCCCTAAGTGTGACGCGCAATTTTGAATCGGAAGTGTACCAATTTATAGAGCTCACCGAGCTGATTCTCATGCTACAAAGCATTCTTCCCCACGAGGTCTTAAATTAGACAAAATCAATCAATTTTACTTGCGAGAGATCATATTCGAGACAGTGAAATTTTACACATATCAGAGTACCAAAAAATTAAATATGATTATTGATTCTTCTACTTTTGACTATAGATTTTCATTGAAATAGATAAAACCTGCCTAGCAATATCTTACTTTGCATGTTTCAATCTTACAATTATAATATATATATTCTTCTTTTCAGTCATTCTTTCCTATTTCATACACTATTTTTCCTATCAATTTTCAGGCTGTGATATCTGAAGATTTACAGCTTGACATTTTCTATTGCTTCTGTGTCTGCCTCTGTGCATTGATAATATCCGTAAATTTATACCAGAAACAGCACTTTTAAATTCAAATGTCCAACAGACAGATATTACGAAGAAGGAATTCTTGATCGAATTATTAGACGAAGTTTCCAACAGTGATAGTTATGTCATCGAAATAGAACACTCTCTTGAGCTTCCCGAGGGTGTGCTCCGAGTGTGGAGTGTGGGTGTGTATTAAGATTAGAAGATACACACACACTCACACCCCACACCCTCATCTTCCGAAGTCGGGGTTATTTCTTCAACAATTCCCCGATCTTTTTAGAACTCAACATCCGATTCTGATTCTATTTCATTCCAAATTTGTAAACTCACGTCATCATTAGTAATTCTTCGGAACTTGGAGATACAAATTGTATTTTTGGAAAAATTATTATCCAAACTACTCACATCATTCAGTGAGTTAGTGTCCTCTTCAGTATCAGTTTCTTCAAACGATATGTAAATCATTGTAAAATTTCGGTCTTTTTCATACAAATGAGAAGTAAGAATCAAAGATAATATTACGAAAAGAAAGCAAAAAAATATGGAAATTTTGTTTCTTTATTTCGTTCCTACTGCGTAATACATATAAGACAAAGAGAAAAATATACTTGAAAAATTATTAAGTTCGATATGAAATAGGGCCACCTATGTAATGATAAAAACAAGAAAAAAGAAAAACGAATGGATGTTCATACTGAAAAGACTAACGAGTACATTTATCGAGGGTTATTACATATGGAAATGAAGGTATTAAAGCTATTTTCTATGAAAATCGAATCGCTGCGGAAGAATTAATTAGAACCAATATCAATTAAAATTTTAATTTCCGAAGGATCAGATACTAAAGCTTCAAATCCATCTTTGACAATATCATTCAACTTGATTTTTCTTGTAATGAGCCGTTCAACATCCATTTGTTTACTATCAATAAGTTTAATTACCTCTGGAAATATATGTCGATAGCAAACAATTCCCTTGATAGTTATTTCACGCATGACAAGATCCATAGCATCCAATGCCACTGGTTTTCCAAATATTGCAACCAATATAGCTCTACCACCGTTTCTCAAAGATGCGATACCCGTTGTAAATGTTGATTGTACACCGGCTGCATCAAGATAAACATCGGCACCAAGACCACCAGTAAAGGTTTTAATCTGTTGCGAAATATTTTCCTCCTTACCATTGATAATTAATGTAGCACCTAGTTCACGTGCTTTCTCAAGACGTTTCTCGGCAATGTCTACAACAACGGTACGAGCAGCACCGGCAGCCATTGCAGCTTGAAGACATAGTAGACCAATTGGACCAGCGCCAAATATTACACATGTTTCGCCTAGAGTTGTAAATAAATATGCATACAATTCGATCTTTGCTCAGTTTTTCTCCGTGAAAGAGCATTTTTCAAAAATAACTTAAGTGAATAGAAGTTGAGATGTTCAGTTTAAAGTTACCGTTTCCCTCTTTTCGATAATTCTACCGTACAGTCCCAAAAGGTCGTACAGACCTGAAATTTTTACCAAATGATCATCTCTCGATTTTGGTATAAAAATTTTGAAATTTTTCAGTTTGCTCGAGTTTTGAGTGTGGGCTGTAGAAATAACTCGGTTTTTTCTTGCGACTGAAGCGAACTACCGTAAATTCGATCCCATGGAACTGAAATTTTTACCATAGACACAAGATACTGCATCTCAACTTCCTTTTTTCTTTTTACGGTTTTTGTTTGACCTTTCCTTTCGGAGTTACAGAGAACAAGAAAACAAAGTTTGATCCAAAACAAAAACCGAGTTATAAAACTAAACTTGTAATAACTCAACAAGGAATGGTCAAAAACGAAAACTGATCAGTGTTGTGTGTCTACGAGAAAAATCTGAGCTCGATCCGATCAAATTCTAAGATAATCGTCAGTGTGTCAATGTAGGATGAGAAACAATTCGAGTTACGCGCTTCTATAAGGAATAGATATCTATCAAACACAAACATAGTTCTAATATTATACGTGTTATGTCCGAAATTAACGTTGAAGTGTATAAGGTATTTATTAAGATATTACTTTAGAAACAATCCCCTCTTAGAAAAAAAACACGAAGTATATATAGGAAGAGAAAGCTGGACTAGTCAGGGCAGAAGTTGAGAGTTTCTTCGTCTGATTGAAAATGAACAACAAGTAGAGTTACAACAAAAGACGTCAGTGAAGAAGAATAGGTCAGACGGGTAAGAACAAAAGAAAAAGAAACATAAAAACATCCATATATCCTAACATATTGAACAAGAGTTGTTAGATCAAAGAAGAGAACGAACATATATGGATAATATATATAACCTTTATGGCACATCTAATATAAGTGCCATAACACCTCCCCCTTACACAAGATGAACTTCCACGTTCATCTGAAGACAAAAAAAAAAAAATAATAATAATAATAATAACAAAACAAATCAATGTTCCGGTACTGCCACTACCATTGTCATTGATTAAAAACGTTAGATTAAACTTCCTATTAATATCATTGAAACAATTAATTATATTGAAGCATCAGCCTATTGATGAGCATCAAAAGCGTATATAATCAAATCATATGAATTAGGGATGACGCTGATAGACAAGTTTTAAATCGCTCACATGTACCCGTTTAGATATTAAAGAATGAGTATTTTGGATTGTATATGATGGGTGTTGTTTATTAATGATCGTATAAGGACCAGAAAATCGCTCTTCAAATTTTGCACGATGACCAGGTACTTTACAAAAAACCAAGTCATTAATTTCAAATTGTGGATCTTGACGATTTCGGTCGAAACGTTGTTTCGATTGTTGTTGATGAAATAGTGTTTTTTGAGTAGCAACATGACGATAAATTTTCATACATTTAAGTAATTTAATCCAATAATCGTATGGTCGAGCGAATGTAAACGTGGACGGTGTATGATTAAGAGGTAGTATGGGGTGTCTTCCAAACATTAATTGAAAAGGACTATATCCAATTGTACTTTGTATTCCTGTATTATAAGCATAAATGACAGGAGCTAAATAATCATCCCAATTGTTTAATTCTGTATCGTATAATTTTGATAATTGAGGATGAAAAGTTGCATTAAATCGCTCCACTAATCCATTAGCTTGTGGATGATATGCACTAGTTTGTATATGATGAGTTCCTAATAATGCTGTTAAATTTTTTATTAATTCATTATTGAAATGAACACCTTGGTCAGTAATGAGTCGTCGAGGTATACCAAATTTAAATATGAATTGTTCTACAAAAGATTTAGCTGTTGAGGTTGCTGTATTATTAGGTAATGGACATGCGACAACATATCTAGTATAATAATCCGTTATAACAAGGACATACTTATTACCATTAGCTGAGAACTGTGGTGTTGGACCCCAAAAGTCCATAGAAACTAATTCTAACGGACCTTGTGGATATTCAATCGAATGTAGATGGCCTGGCGGTGCTATTCTACGAATATTAAATTTAGCACATTTTTCACATGATTTAATATAATCTTCAATAGATTTTTTCATGCAAGACCAATAACACGTTGTTCGTATTTTAGACCAAGTTCTGGTGACACCAAAATGAGCAGCTGTTGGATGATCATGATAGCATCGAATTACCTCCTCACGCATTGTTAATGGAATATAAACGACTTTAGTTTTTGTATATGTATGTGGTAGTTGTATAAGTTTGTATAACACGTCGTTTTCCAGAACATAATTTTTATTGGCGCCAAGTTTGTGTAAAATCTGTTGCCTAAGAAGACTTATTTCAGGATCATGTTTTTGTTCGTGACTAATGCGTTCTAAACTAAAATTAAATGTCATGGGTAATGATATGAATTGTTTCTCATCATTTAGTGATGTCGATTTAATAGAATCATTATTTGGTGATTGGTGTTGGTTCCTTCTTGTCATGGATCGTGTGGTAGCATTTAATAAATTTTGGTGATCATCAATATCAGGTCTTGACATAGCATCTGCATCACCATGATTACGGCCTTTTCGATATATAACAGCAGTTATTTGTGGAATTATTTCCTGATGTTTAAGTAACCACTGGTCGATTCGTTTACTATTTAATTTAGTTTTCTTATGAAATTGTTCTAATGGTTTATGATCTGATATAATTGTAACATCTCTACCACCTAAATACTGTTGCAATTTCTCCATACACCAAAATATAGCCAATGCTTCACGATCAATAGTCGGATATTTTCTTTCCGTTGTTGTTAATAGTCTAGATAAATAATAATTGTAATGAATTTGTCCATTAATATTTTGTTTTAATGTTCCACCAATAGCATATTCGGAAGCATCAGTGGATAATATGAAAGGAGCAGTTGGATGAGGATATTTTAAAACTAATGGTTCTTCAGTTAAAATTTGCTTCAACTTATTTGCTGATTGAATTTGATCTTCGGACCAATAAAATTCTTGTTTCTTATTTCGTGTTTTGTTTGTCACCTTGTGTATCGGCGCTGCTATTTGCGCGAAATTAGGAATAAATTTCCTATACCAGCCTATTTTTCCAATAAATTTATTTGCCTGAGCTAAAGATGTTGGTTGTGGTATATCAAGTATAGCTTGAATACGTTCTTTAGATGGAATAATTGAATCTTTTGTAATAGTATGACTTAAAAATTCAATGGATTGTTTTGCTATTGAGCATTTACTTGGATTTAAGGTAAATTGATGCTCAGCTAAAATGTCAAATAATTCTTGAAGGTGTTTTATATGATTATCAAACGATTTTGAAAAGACTAATATATCATCAAGATACACCAAAATATAATCCCATCGTTTATATCCAATAATATTATTCATAATGCGCTGAAATGTAGGGGGAGCATTCATAAGTCCCATTGGAAGTACTTCAAATTGATATAAACCATCTTGAGTTACAAAAGCAGTCTTCTCCTTATCCGCCTGATGAATCGGAATTTGATAATAACCACTTTTCAAATCCAACTTTGTAAACCATGAATGACCACCTAATCTTTGAATAAGTTCTTCAACTGTAGGTTGCGGATAAGAATCCTTTTTAGTGATGGAATTCAGCTTTCTATAATCAATGATAAATCTAAATTCTCCATTTGGTTTTTTCAACAATACTACAGGTGAAGACCAGGGAGAATGTGATGGAATAATAATACCAGCTTTAAGCATTTTATCTATTTCTTGTTGAGCATTTTTTCGTTGTTCAATTGTCTTGAAGTATGGCTTAGCATTAACTGGAGAATGATTTCCTGTGTTAATAACATGATGGACAGTCGTTTTGATTGTTCTTGGTTTAGATGTATCAAATAAGATGCTATGATTTTGTAAAAGATCTCGTACCTGTTGATAATATAGTTGATTAGCTTGAAGGTGTTGAGTTAATGCAGTAATAATATCAGCTACTTCTATCGACTTCTTTTCTGTTTCATGTGTTAAATCAATATGTTGTATTGTTGAATTTGAAGATAATGTTGAACAATATACATTTGGGGTTAGATGATCAACTGTACCGAGAAGCATTGATTTTGGTAATGTTACGATTCTTGTTGTTGGATTATAAATTGTCAATTGAAGATTATTATTTTTAACATTTACAAGTCCATCACAAAGTCGAATTCTTTTATATTGTTGAGTTTTTTCATTAATAACGTTCAGTAACATTTTATTTGAATGTATAATATTCGATACTACAGCATTAACGACAGCTTTACATCTGGGCAAAATTGTACATTGTTGAGCTAACCTAACGGAATTCGATTTCTCAAATTTAACATACAATTGTTGGTGTTGATGATGAATAATAAGACACTGCTGCATAGTTTTTATTTCTATCTTATATTTTCTTAAAAAGTCCATTCCTAAAATAAAATTAGTTGATAAACAATCAACAATTATAGCTCTTATTTGACAGTTTAAATTTTTTATTTTTAAATTTAAACAAATCCATCCATACTGAATTATTTTAGTTTTTGAATCACCTAATGTAATTTCACCTGTTTGTGGATGAATTCGATCTTGATAATTCAATTTAGTAATGGTGGACATTGTAATTAAAGATGATGTTGCTCCCGTATCAATCATAGCACAAAGCTTCATGTTATTAATGCAGGTTGAAATAAAAATTAAAGATGGATGATGTAGATTAGCGAGAGCTGTACCATCATTAGCTCCCACTAGCAGTTTTTTGAAAAACAATTACGAGCAAAATGACCAACTCGGTTACATCTGTAACATCTAAATTTTGATGATGATTGATACGGTTTTCGTTGTTGTGGTGGATCGACTTTGATCGATGGTTTAATTGCTGCTAGAGAATCAAAATTTGATAATTGTAAATTATCCATTTGGATATTTAATGATAAATCTAATTTTTCTTCTGCTTGCGCTAATTCCAAAAATTGTGCTGCAGTTTTTGGATCTCGTCGCATCACTTCTTTCTTTAATGATATTTTGAGACCTGCTTTTAAATATGCGACTTTGTATTGTTCGTTCATATTTAAATCAATCATATCAAATAATTCCATCATTTCATTATAATAATGTAATACAGTTTCATTTAAACCTTGTTGACGGCTACCAACCTGTTTTAATGCTAATTCTTGATGAAGTATTGATGAAAATGTTTTTTGTAATTGAATTGAAAATGTGGACCAATCAGTCATCATAGACATATTATTAATAAACCAACGTCGAGCATCATCGACCAGAAATGTTTGGATAACCGACAATTTCTGTTGATCATTAAGTTTAACCATATTTAATTCATTTGTAATATCAGTCAACCATTTGTTCACATTTTCATTACTTTTACCACCAAATTTTGGTAGTTTATCCAAATTGTTTGATAATATAGTATTAATTAATTTTTCAGTCATCGTAAATGATATTGGACGGTATACAATATGTTCGTTGTTCTGTTGATAAGTTGTTTGTTCGATTTCAATACCACTTAGTCGTTGAAATTCTTGATCAATTTCCTCTTCTCTTTTCACTTGTTGTCTCGTTTGTACCATATACAGATTCAACACCGGCTAGTGCACCAATATGTTATGTCCGAAATTAACGTTGAAGTGTATAAGGTATTTATTAAGATATTACTTTAGAAACAATCCCCTCTTAGAAAAAAAACACGAAGTATATATAGGAAGAGAAAGCTGGACTAGTCAGGGCAGAAGTTGAGAGTTTCTTCGTCTGATTGAAAATGAACAACAAGTAGAGTTACAACAAAAGACGTCAGTGAAGAAGAATAGGTCAGACGGGTAAGAACAAAAGAAAAAGAAACATAAAAACATCCATATATCCTAACATATTGAACAAGAGTTGTTAGATCAAAGAAGAGAACGAACATATATGGATAATATATATAACCTTTATGGCACATCTAATATAAGTGCCATAACAATACGGTTAAATATTTGACTATAGAAGTTGTTTATAAAATTTTTTCCTAGTGTACAAAATTTAGATACGAGAATTGAAACACATTCCTCTTATATTCTGTCATCGATATTCTTTGTGTATTCAAAGAGAATCAAAAAGTTTCTTCAAAAAACTTTTTTTTCTCTCAAAAATACATAGTAGCTCTTCTAATTTTTCTGAGTTTTACACGAATAGGAATTCCTTGAGAGATGAACTGTATTATTGGAATTTTTAGTTTAGCGTTTGATACAAGGAGAAAAATTCTAAGATTAACTGCTACATTTCAATGCAAATAACTCAAATTGAAACACTACGTGACACGTAAAATTCAAATGGATTGAGTTGAGTTGCTATCCTCCATTTATCCATGAAATATTTGACTGATATGTCAAATATTTGTGTTTGATCCATGCTTATAGTAAAGAATGCATCGCAGAAATTGTGCTTTTCGTAAAATGTACATAACTCATAGAAAATTCATTGACCTAAATCGGGTAACGTCTCATTCTAAAGAAAACACTTTCTTCTACAAGACTTTTGACTCAGAAAAAATTTCTCGTTTTCTCCAAACGAGAAAAAATTTCTAATCTTAATTTTGAATTTCTTATTGTAACTTTAGTCTGTTTTATAACTGATGAGGGCAAGTCGTAGAGAGTCGGAAGATATCTCATTTGAAAGAGAATCTTGTGCTCTATAAACTGAGCGTCTTAAACCCAGAGATGGGCAAGTCTGAGTTTTTTTAATTTAAGTTCAGTCTAAGTTAGCAGTCTGTCAGTCCAAGTTAAGTCCAAATCCGCTTTTTTGTTAAATCATCAGTCGCGAGATATACACTTGGACCAACTGAAAATTTGGGCTTTTTCTTTGAAGTTTCTTTTACATAGGATTGGTTACTGACCTTCATCAAATTTACAACGGGTTTGTTACTAGCCGTCTGTAAAAAATAGCCCAAAATTTTACTCGGCCGAACTGTAAATAAAACCATCAGTCTAAGTCCAGTCCAATTCAAACTTTTCTAACGTTTTTTATCGTTGTGAGTTCGCCAATATCAGCAGTCGCTTTCTCCGTAGCCTTTCTCTAAACTGAATGACAAAACGGACGAACTCTATCTTATTTGATTTACGGAAGAGAGAAAAAGAGAACAGCACTTTACCATAGATATAGATGGTGAACTTTCTCTCTTCTCTTAGTTCGAGTGCATCTACTTAGTTTATGAGAAAATAGAAACAGAGAATTCGTTTTTATTTCTGAGTTCTTCCTTTTTTCCTCTGCTTATATTTTGTTGTTACAGAAAATCAGTCAAGCTCTTTTTGATCAGTTTGTAAGTCCGAAAGTGTTCAGCCCAAGCTCAGTCTCAGATCTGTGACTGATTGGCTATCAGCCCAGACTCAGCTCAAATCCGAACCTAGATTTGCCCACCTTTGTCAAACTCGACACCTAAAAATTTGGAGAAAAAAGGTCTTAACTATAGCCTTAAAACAGAAAATCGTTGTTTTCATAGTGAAAAAGATCGAACGGCTGGATACTGATACATACCTAGTTGTAAATCACTAGTTTTAACAGCATGCACAGCCACAGCAGCAGGTTCTACCAGTGCACCTTGTTCAAAGCTGACACTATCCGGTATTTTATGTATCATATAATCTTCGACAACTGCATATTTTGCAAATCCACCATTTCCCGTCAGACCAATAAAACCAATCGGCTCTGATAGATTATATTCACCTTTTGCTGTAAAGACACTATCTGGATTTCTAAAAATTGGTTCTACTACAACACGATCACCTGGCTTGACACGATCACTGTGAACATCATCTCCTACTTCAACAACTACACCTGAAAATTCATGTCCCATTGTTGTTACACCACAGTGTCCATTTAATGGATAAGGTTCTTTCATGGGAATTATCATTGGACCATGTAAATATTCATGTAAATCTGTTCCACAGATACCAACATATTTTACTTCTACTTTAACTTGATTTTTGTTGACAGAAGGAATAGATGTTTCTTCTACACGTATATCTTTTGCACCATGATAACGGGCAGCTTTCATTGTTGCGGTACTCGTATGATCAACTTTAGAATTTATGTCTATCTTGAAAGACACCACCACTGACTGTCCTATATGTAGAAAGACAAAAAAATTCTCTTCTAAAACAAAAAATTTAACATATGTATTTATATGATTGACATTGTTCTGTAGTCAGAACATGACCCTTCCTTGACCTCTATTTATTGTGAGAATGATCAAAAACATAGCCAAAAGAAGAAAGAAACTATATGTCTGTTCTGTATTCATAATGGATAAATGAACGAAAAAGGCCACGAAGAAAAGGAACATCACTAAAAGAAAACTGGTATAATTCTGTCTAGCTAAAAGATGAAAGAAAGAATTATACACACTTATGTATTCTGTAGACAAACAAAAAGAAGAAACAGTAGGCCCATAATGAAGACGTCTTTCACTCAGAAGATATCTTTGATATCTCGTGCATTCTTTTACAATCCATGAAAAAAAGATTTCTTTTCCTTTTCTGTGTCCCTCGCAACAATTATTCTTTTGCCCCTTATCCCAACACGGGTCATAGAGAAACGTCCTTGAATCTACACCAGTCTGAGTTTGTCGCTACAGAGATTCTTGAATTGGTTTTTAATCCTAGAAAAATCATTTTAGAGATTAGAGTCAAGACAATATCGTGTTCAAAATTCAATGCTGGAACATTGAAACATGTTGTTTCCTAAAAGAAAATTTAGAACAACTGTTTTTTGCTAATTCTCAATTTTTCCATTGGAAGAAAAAGTATAGCGGATTGGAAGCTTTGATATTTTCGTAAAAATATCAGTTGTCCACAAAAGACTGCGCTGGACAAACAAGAAAAACCATTTACTTTGCCTAAAAATTCAAAAATAAATCAATTGACTCTTGTTTACTTCGTTTGGTTTTGAATTTTAGGCAAAGCAAAGGACTTTTGTTGTTTATCCAAGAGTCTTTTGTGGCAAATTTGATTTTCTACAAAGAGGCTTAAGAGTGCAATTCTCTCTTCCTACAAGAAATTGAAAATTAGCTAAAACAATTTTTCCAAAGCGGAGTCAGAAAGTAATATGTGTAAAAATGAATTCTAAACAAGTTGTTATTGGCTCAAGTGTCTTCAATGGCTCTTTTAGTGCGAAAAAGTGAGATCAAGAACATTATCAAACGCAGACTGATGTGGGGATGCAAGAGTGTTTCTCTGTGCCCATCATTGGCAAAGAAAGACAGCGAGAAAACGGAGATAAGAAGAAGCACAACTGCGCAAAATGCAGGTAAAAGAAAGAGATATCTTTTGGTTGTGCATTGTAAAAGAACGCAAGAGATATCAAAAATATCTCTACCAAAGATTACATCTTTGGTTGCTCCATAATAATACTAGGGTGAAAGGACGTAGGTATAAATATAAAGTACGAGATTCCCACATCCACTTGGAACACTACGACTCTAATGAGCTCTTTCATCAAAAGAGTTCAATGATTGTTTGAAGAATATCGCTAAAAAATCTACTTTATAACGTACCTTGATGGTCAAAGGGTTAATGCAATATAAATTACCCATAGTACTATTTTGTTCACGTAGAAATTATCACATAAAATTACATGTATCTACGTTGATTGTTTCCATCACTTTAGTCCAACAAAAAGAAAATACAGAAAAATCTGAATAATACAGATCAACATTTGATTTGAACAGAAGCTAATACTGTTTATCATTTTCCATCTTAATATTGTTATCCTACATTTTCACTATTGGATTTTATTAAAAATAGAAACTTAACTTGATTTAAATGCTTTCAAAATTGGATTAAAGTCCAGATTTTCTCTATCATACAGAGAAAACTTGACTTCCCAACTAGAAAAACATTTTGTGCTGTGTTGACTCTGAAAAAACGACATTCATCCATTTAACTATGATTTGCAGTTTTTCTCATAAAAGCATAAGAAAATGAAATTTGTTTTCTTCAAAAAAGAAAGAGAAAACGGTTTCAACTACAAACATTCGATCCCCAAGAAACATCTGTTAAATTCAGTAGTGTTATAAAGAGTAGGATTCTTTTCAATTCTAGAATTGCTGACTAACTATCAATATTAAACAAAAACCAAATTTTCCAATGTTTTTCGGTATGATTCCATAAGAATCGAATATTTCTATCGACATGTAATGTGTTATATTAGGAAAATATTCTTCATCATTATGTGAAAATACCGATTAATAAGCTAGTACTAATAATTCACATGACTTTAGAGGTCAGAAACATTTTTTTAATCATCTTGAACTTCGAAAAGAACGGAGCTCATGATTACAACTTATTGGAATGTTAATTCATGAATTTATATGCATTCTAATGGTCCATAATTTGTCGAAAGAAGTACATTTTTATCGATAAAATGGTTTAGCTATGGATAACAATTCAAGCTCTACTGGGCTACCTATCAATCATTTCTTCACACCCACCCTACCATCTGCATGCTCACCTCAATCAGGTACTCATATGGTTAATATATATATCTAAATCGTCTTAATTAATTAATAAGTCATTGAAAAGTAACTCGTTTATAAATATATGTCGAATCAATTTGGGTGTATAGTAAGTATGATTGAGATATCGAATACGATCATCAAGGACTTTCGAAAATAATTTCAATTTACAATAAAATAATTCATTATGGTATACATATCTATTCAGTTTGAACATAATTTTCTTGTTTAAAATCAAATTAATCGTATTGAATTAATCTATTATAAATCGATTTAATGACAATAACCATAAAACACACATAATATGAAAACTAACTCGATATTACTAAAACTTACTTCGAGTAGTTTTAAAGATCCATCATAATTAAGGAAAATAACAAAGAATTTCGAGAGATTTCAATATAAATCGAATCATCGATCAATGAACATGAAAATGTTTATTTGAAAACACTCGCATTCAATTAACTAATATAAAATACAATTCAATATCATTCTTAGAAAAAATATTAATGAACAATAATTTCTTTATCATTGATTGAATATAAAAATCTGAATATGAAAATTAATGAAATATTTTAATAACAATTTTTTCGAAAAAAATTCAAAGAAAATGAATGTATTTCGTCTAAACTGATTGTATCAGTGGCGGCGGAGCCCTTAGGCTTGGGGAGGCTTAAGCCTCCCCTAATAACAGAAAGGGAAGGCTTGGGGACGCTCAGATATCTGAAGAAATTTTATAGATCTCATCCTGAATTTGTATTTAGTAAGCGAAAATTCTTTGACCAAGAGTGTGTTCAGTTAGATGTTAGATAGCGTCATAGAGAACGAAGTCATTAGGTTTGAGGAGCCTCGAGCCTTTTCAAGAAAATGAAGAGGAAGGCTAGAGAGACTTGACAGCTTCTGAAAAAGTTTTCCAAATCTCATTCTGAATTTATACCGAATGTTCGAAAAAGTTATCCATATGATTTATTTTGTATATATCTTTGTATGCACAAATGCTAAAATCTTGATGTTTTCTTCAAAATATGTGATGTCGGTGGTTTCTAAAATATAACTACGAAAAAACTCCTGCTGACTTCTTTTGATGAATTTTAGAAAACTGAAATAAACGATGTATAAAACATTTCGAATTCCGATTATGTTGGAATTAACAAACATATTTTGAAATAATAGCTATTTTGCATTTATTTTCGCACAGAAAAATGATAAAAACCTGAATGGCTTATTACAAACCTTTTGGAGTGAAAAAAAGTAAAGATGCGCGAGAAACTGAAATTTCTCTCCATAATAACAGATTCAACGGACCAGAAATGGTAAAATAATTATTAAAGTCAAGTTTAATGTACAAAAATTCGTTACTCAATACGATAACACTATCAAAGTGACCCGTGTCATGTTCGAAAATCATTTTAAAGATATAAAAGTGAACAACTAGGCAATTAATCATTTACATAGAAGAACAAATTTAATTCAGAAAAGTGAAAAATTGTCGTATTTTGTACATCTTTGCTTTTAGCTCTCTCGAAATTGGTTAAGATAAGTCTGGAGAACGTTTTGCTTCTTTAAAAAAATCAAGGTTTTCAGAATTTTTGTGCGAAGATAAATAAGAAATATGTATATTACAAATATTTTTTGTTACTTTCAATATAAAGGGAAGTAGCAATATTTTACATATTCTATCCAATTTCCTAAGAACTCATCAGAACAGGTCCACATTACCTTGTGATGCAGTTGTTACAGAGAATTCAACAACAGTTTCTAGGATTCGTTTTCAGAATATTTCTATACGTCCCGAGACTGATGTTTTCATTTCAACATTAAATTGAAGAAATTAAGACAAATACAAACAGCTTACTAAAGGTGACGATTCACTCTTCCAGACCAGAGATGTTTTTTTAGTATAGTTAAATTGCATTTTATGATATTAAACAGAGAAATTCTGTGATTTAAATGGTTCCTGTAAAGACCAAACAAATAATTCTCGAAAGATTGTCAAATTCAACGGCGCATCTTTTAAGAAAATTCTAGTAACAGTTAGAATTAGAAAGCTAAAAAATCCTTCCTCCCTTTATATCACTCTCCCATAGCTGCCTGAAAAGTTTTGAGCCTCCTCTAGATTTGAATCGTTCCGCCGCCTCTGGATTGTATTATATTAATTATCAATCCAATTCTATCAATAATCGAAAAATCTTGCGAAGAGAATTATTCAGAATAAAACGAAAAATTTTCTTCATCAACCATTTGCTTATCGACGAAATAAATCGACATACGATTAATAGACTGCTTTTAAGATTATATAGACATTTTTATTTCTTAACACATTAGTCAAACATCAACTGTACCAAGAGTAACAATTTGTAAAGCTTCTGATGTATTATATTTGTTTTTACATCAACTATCGAAAAATGAATCCATTCGGAGTGATTAGATTAATTACACATGATGATAAAATTCATGAAGAATAAATATGTCTTCGATAACCGATCAGTTCACAACTAAAAATTTTTCTATTGTTTAAAGAGAACTATTTTGTCATTGTTTAACTAAGGTTAAAAATATAATTGATGTCGTTGAATAAATACAAATGAGTTGTTGCTTTTTAAATATAATTGCAAATCATCATCTTTTCTTCATCAATCTCGTCAATAAAATCAATAGTGAAAAGACATTAAGAATCTTTTTTAGTTTAACTACAATAACTTTATGTAAATCTGTTGCTAGTACAATAATTTTCTCTATATGGCAAGTCAATGTGTTCATTATGTTTCTATTCAATGGTTTATATTTATATGTTTTTTTTCTGTACTTTTAATCCAGATTTGCAACATTGATGAATGAAAGAAAATTTTGCTAAATTATTCTTTTCAGTTGTTTTTTGGCTTCCACTAGACGAAGAAAAAAAAAATAATTTCTTATATTTTTTCGTCATTGAAATCTTTTTCAAATCAAATCTTACGTTTTTTTCTTTTTAATAATAAACATTTGATATCGAATTTATATTTGTTTTAATGATTATAACAAATATCATCGTCAAACACAAATCAATATAACTCTTGTCAAGAAGATCTATCTATGGATTATTTAAAAGAAGATGATGATGAAAATAAAAATCAACCAATATGTTTATCAGATCAGATTCGTCAAGTATCTGATCACCTTAATCAATTTCATACAAATGAATCAAAATTTTAAAAAAGATTTAAGGAATGGAGAAATGAAGCTCATGACACAATTGATAAATTTTACAAATCAAAACATAATGAATATATAAGAAGAGCAAAAGAATACATTGATAGATCAAAAAATATTTTAAATTCATTAACTAGTGATCATGATGCTTCACAAGTCGAATATCTGATTTAAAACTTCATTCATTTCTAATAAAAGAACTTGTTTCTAATTTATCATCATCTTCAACATCGCATTTTCATACAAATCAATCAGACGAAAATACTTTTGTAGGTTTCGAAGCTCCAAAACATATGATTAAACTTCAATCTGATAATTGATATTCTTTATCAACAAATCAAACATCTTTAGTAGTTTCAGAAAAATCAAATTTATATTTAATTGATCAAACTTTAACAATTATGGAGAAAAAATCATTTCTACAAATTGGAATCAAATATATTTTCACGATTTATTCTAACATCACTAAAAAATATTTATACTCTTGATTTTAAACTCATTGCAGTAGAATTATTTTCAATTAATTCTATTAAGAAGTATTCATGGGAACGTGAAACTTGTTATGATACAACTTTATTTATTTCAACATTTGGTGAAAATCTTTTTATTATTGAATATACTATTTTCCCATCAATACATTTAAATAAACGATGGCCATCATCAATAATTTGTAAAGAAAATCAAGTTATAAGTGATATGAAATCAAATGAAAATAATCATGGTCGATTCATCTTGGTAAAGGATGGTCTTATAGATGTTCACCTTTAAATTTAATGTTATTTCTTGCGGTCTAAATCAATTTGTTATAAGAGCTGCTGAACATCTTAACATTCACAATTGCAAATAAATTTCTAAAACAACTTGACGTAAAAAAGAATCTACATTAATTTTTGTTTAATTATTATCAAAAAATAGAATCATAACGAGAGATTTCATCCGATACAAGAGAATATCAAATATGAACTAAAATAATCAAATAAATGAATTTTTCTAATCTTGACAAGTATTTCATTTCATTTGGAATGCATCTTTAGATTTTCTTCGTTCCTAGATGCTAACCTTTCACTATTAGATACATCCGATCAATCCTAATCATTGTTTATTTCATCCAGATAAGATAGTAATGGTTATCGCTAAACTTTAAACTTGTGGCAAGTAAGAGACAGAGTGATTATAATACTGGGTATCTTCGTACATTAAAGGCACCTAATCGAATAATAAAATGATATATGCAATAGCACTCTATCATGGACATATTGTTTTACTGAACGAAGATGTTCTATGAAAGTATATTTCGAAGACATGAATCGATTTGTCTTCGTTATAGAACTGATTAGGGTGTGGGTGTGGATGTGAATGGGTGTGTGTGGAGTGTGGGTGAGTGTGAGTGTGTGGGTATGAATGTGGGTGTGGGTGTGGATGTACGAGTGTTGGTGTGAATGCTGCTATTCTCTTCACACACACTCACACCCACAGTCATCCACACTCATCCCAAATACGCACACCCACACATCCCACACTCACCCACACCCACACCACCCAAATCCACACCCACCCACACTAACACCCCACACCCCACACACCTACACCAACACTCACACACCCATCATCAAGCACATTTTCAATCGATCACATCTTCATCTATATGATAGCGGTTCTATTGAATAGAAATAACTACTGAAACGCTGTTTCATTGAATCAGTTTCAAAGTATTTTATCTTTTTCCATGTCCTATCAAGAACTATTTCTGAACTATATCAAAACATATACATCTAAATAATTAAAAAACAAAATCAATTTTCAACAGCTTTTTAATTTCTAAAGAAAATTAATAATTTATTTACCGGGGCTTCTTGTCTTATGTATAATCATTAACATGAATAAAACTATCTGTCATTTGATGAGTAACAGCCATGTCATTAGTCACTCATCGTGTTTTTAATTGAAACGAATGAATGTACCCTTGTCACAGAGTAATGAATAATTACAGTTTGATCGAAAAAGAAAAACAAGGCATCTATGTATGAATAATTTGATGAAAGTCAAAAAACATTTATATAATTTTCTTGGCATTATATAAGTCGGTGTTTTTCTCATAAAGGAAATAGTATCCTAATATTCATACAACAATAATATGCCAATCGAACCTTGTTTTATCAATAGCACGAACAATAAAAAATTTCGACTTAATGGTATTTTACGATCGACACGTTTGCCAGATAAACATAAATTATGTCAAAAATTTCGTCAAGATATGGTTTTAAGAACTGATCAACTTCCACCGAACGTTGATCTTCGATCAGATATGACACCTGTTGAAGATCAATCACAACTTGGAAGCTGGTAAAGAGAATTCTATCATTGAAAATTTTTATTTCTTTGATTTTATACATTTCAGTGTGGCTAACTGTCTTGCTGGTACAGAAAAACATGACAAAAAAATTGAAATTCTTTTTATTTTATCATTAATGTTTTCTTTTTAGGAGCTTATGAATATTTAGCAAAGAAATCAAATGGTATCAATATAGATGTCAGTCGTTTATTTATTTATTATAATGCACGAGTTAAAGGAAATTATTCAGAATCAATAGAAGATACTGGTTGTTCAATGACAGATGCTATTGAAGCATTAGAAGAATTGGGTACATGTCTTGAATCAATATGGCCATATGATATATCAAATGTTAATACACGTCCTAGTGATCAAGCATTTCAACAAGCAAAAAAGTATACAATAAATGAAGCATTTCGAGTTGATCTTGTTTTAAATGAAATGAAATCATGTCTTGCACAAGGTTTTCCATTTGGATTTGGCATTCAACTGTTTAATTCATTTGATAATGCAAGAAAAACAGGGGTAGTACCAATGCCAGATCCTTCAGAGAGTAGCAGAGAATCACATGGAAGGTTTGTTGCATACAAATTTTTTTTTCATAAACTTAAAAAATAAAAAAGAATTTCGTTCTTTTATATAGTCACGCAATGTTAGCTGTTGGTTATAATGATCAATCAAGAGCATTTATTGTTCGTAATTCATGGGGAGAAGAATGGGTAAATAGATGTTTGCTATCAAGAATTATCTTCTTTTGTTCTTATTGTAGGGTGACAGAGGATATTGTTATGTTCCATATGATTATATGACTAATTCAGATTTTTGTTTCGATGCATGGACGATTCGAAAATTGATGAATAATGATTTTAGTCAAGAAAATTGGCATTTTGATGATAATAAGAATAATTATTCTGATGATATTCATGATAATAATCATTTTATTGAAAAATTAGACGGACATGATGATACTGAAGGTTATAACGGTAATCAAGATCTTTGGTGGAATGATAAGAATCGTGAAGGTGACAATTATGATTTTTCGTATCAATATCAAACTGATGAAAGTTTGTTTTTCTGTATATATATATATATCAATAAGTATTGTTCTTTTTTTGTATAATTTAGCGAATAATTATTCAACAAATGATGCTAATTATTATGATAATGCTAGTCAAAATAATCAGGATAGTAAGTCATTTGATAGTAGTTTTATTCTTTTAAGTTACAAAATTTAATTATCGTTTAGTTTATTTAAAACAAGATTGGAATTCAGACACAAACTATTCATATCCACAAAACGCTCAGTATGACAATCAAACAAATTATTGTAAGTATTTAAAACAAATTCTGAATTTCAGAATTAACTGTACTCATAAAATGCAAGAAAAAAAACAATTGTCAATTATATTATCATATCTTTTTAGGTGATGATGTTTCAAATTTCAATTGAATGACTTATTAATATTATTTTCAACATTTGAACTATTTAATACGATTTTTTGTAATTTCTAACATGATTATCATATAATTCCTTTAAAAAAAATGAAAATAAAATGTTCATTGTTGTTTTTCAATTCAATAAAAAGTAATAAAAAAAGTTGAGTGTGAGAGTTCATATACATTTCACTCACGCCCTCAAGTTCATCTGCTGTTGGACTTCCACATGATAAATCTATGTGATTACTATAAGAATATGAATAACTAAATTCAGTATCATTCTATATTCATCACAAGGAAGATCTGTAATTATAAGTTGAGTAAACTTTGAAAATTCAATAGAAGAATTGGTATCATATCATTTTTCATTAAAACACAAAAGAAAATTTATATATTACAAAAAAAATGAATGAAATTGATCAGAAGGTTCAAATTGTGTTAAAGATCCAGATTCAGGAACAATTTGTTGATGATGTTATAAATAAAAATCAATTATCTGAAATTAATTCATTTTATCGATTACTATGAAGATAATGTTTATCTTCAGGGAAAGTAATATAATACATAAAATTTTCAAATTACATTCTTTTTCTATAATAAACATTTCCAATTCATCAAATGTTTCAGCAGCTAATTCTTTTACAAGATATGTCAAAATAGGAAAAATAATGGAAAACAAAATTTAATTGTTTAGATGTTTTATTAATATCTATATACTTAGGGCATACCAAAGTAGTGGCAGAGGTTCGGAAATTCCTTATAAAAAGATTTAAGAAACTTTCTTTCTATATGATCTGATATAGAAAAGAATGCTCTATTTTTCTATGCTATTTGATCGTACTTCAACTAATATCATAATAATAAATATTCGATAAGATCTGTTTCGTTTGATTACGTACCGGTTATATGAATACTGTTTCTCAAGTTTTCTTTATTCAATTTTCTAACTGTTGGTAGAATAATTTTTTTTATGAAAAAACGAAAGAGCCAAAAGTAGTGATTGTTTTCATAGGTTTCGCTAGAAAATCGTGTTAGAGGCTCGACTAGAACACATATTTTTCATCTCAGCCTTTCGCACTTTGTAGATCTTCAACTAATGATCAGAATTTATAATTGATAATAGAAAATTCATTGGAAACAACTTACTAGATAGGTTGGTCTTAAAAAGGTCAATTGGAAACCTTACAAAAAACATATAAGAAAATCCTGGAATATACGATTCGATGCATCGTCATCTCCTCTTTCCAACGATGAAAACCGCAGTTCTCTATTTTGTTTCTAACAAAAGTAATTCAAAAAAATACTCACTCGTACTTTTGAAAATTAGTATTAATACAACCAGCACGTATGCAAACGAAACAGATCTTATCGGATATTTATTATTATGATATTAGTTGCAGTACGATCAAATAGCATAGAAAAATAGAGCATTCTTTTCTCTATCAGACCATATAGAAAGAAAGTTTCTTAAATCTTTTTATAAGGAATTTCTGAATCTCCGCCACTACTTTTGGTATGCCCTAAGTAATATTTGACGCATATATAAACTCGATGAATTTTTTTCGATGTTGTCAGAGAAAGTGTACCCATACTTCAACCGTGAAACGAGCCCATAAACGAGATAAATTTTTGTCGTTTTGTATGATACATGGCAAGTTTTAATGCTGGTTCAACTGCTTCAATACTTGAATTAGTAAAATATGTTTTTGTCGGTGATTTAATAGGAGCTAATTCATCGAGTTTCTTAGTTAAATCGAGCATGTGGTGATAATTATAATTTGTTGAACACATGTGAATAAATTTTTGCGTTTGTTTTATGATTGCTTCGACAACTTCAGGATGGCAATGACCAGTTGAACAAACGGCAAAACCTGAATTACAGCCCGTAAATACATTACCATCAGTATCGTCAATTCAAACACCGTAAACTTTTTCAACAACAAGCTTATATGGATAATGATTAAACGATGACGTTACATATTTTGTATCTTCTTCAATTATCTGTTTTTGCTTTCAGACCAGATAATTCGGTTTTTATTATTGGTCGTTGTAGCATTGTGTTCTTTCTTACACTAAATAGTTGGCTTCAAAATGTACCCTAACCTGATGTTTCATTTTCTACTGATGCTCGTTTATACAGAATCAAAAAGCAACGTATAGGATGTGGGTGTGGGTAGGTGTGGGTGTTGGTAGGTGTGGATGTGGGTGTAGGTGTGGGTGTAGGTGTGTGGCGGTGTGGGTGTCTGTATAAATACAGGAACAGAACAACACCCAGACCCAGATCCAGACCCATACTCCACATCCCACACCACCCACACCCACACCCCACACCACCCACACCACCCACATCCACACCCCACACCAACACCCTTTCTGATTGTTTTGGTTAAAGAGTGGATATTGAAAGCCATAACGAATGGCCGAACAAAGAAATGAAGTTAGAAAGAATGATTCATTTGATTAATAAAATAAGAAAAAGAGTTCACCTTGTATCAAAAAAGCTGCTTTTTTTTTGAAGAATCAAAAGTTAGTGACTCAGAATCCTGCTGATTTTCAATACAAAAAAGACAATTGTAAGAAAGGCCGTTTAGTGTAAATTGTAGAACTTTTCACGCTCTATCTTGTAGTGTTCTATGTTTTCCTTTTAGTAAAGTATATCAAGCGATAAAAAGATCAAATAAGAAAAAGAACGAGTAAATAAATTTTTTCGAAGTGACTCAGAATTTCATCCATTTTCAAAACAAAAGATGTAATTATAAAATAAGCTGTCTTTTGTAGATTGTAGAGATTTTCATGCTGCATCTTCTAGTGTATTTTGTTTTTTTAATATAATGTCTTAGGTAATAAAAAATACGAATCGGAAAAAGGAACTTTTTTTTTATCTGACGGAGAGTTAATGTTCGATTTTGTCCGTTATAAAAGATTTACATGCAAAAGAGAAATGTTGAAAGATGTTGTTTTCTATTATTGATTTTAAACCAGGCATAGCATTGACATAGCTTTTATAAGTTTCGTTTTTTTTCGCATAAGAAAAAAAAGTAAATACGCGACAAAGAATATATTTTTTTTGAAACGCGTCATTAAGGCGTACATACAATTCTTCAATGTTTTTCTAATATTGGTTTTCTTGCGTGTAATGTTTGTTCTTATTGTGGATCTTTTTCACCAAGACATACAGTACGAACAATAATATCTGTTACAGCATATGGATCACAATTTGATGCTGGACGACGATCTTCGAAATAACCACATTTTTCTTCACCAACTTGACGAGGTATTCGAATTGATGCACCACGATTGGCAATACCAGCTTTAAATTTATTGATCTAAATAATGTAAAAATAGAGTGAATTTCTGTGAGAAAAAGACAAGCCTCAAAGGGTTTCGATCTATAACTACTTTAAGGACATTGTTTCTAACAAGGAAACATATTCAAGTTTCTAATCAATTTTGAATCAGAACTATATCTATCATGTAGATTCTAATGAACTATATATACTTTGAAAAAACTTCGAGCTATTGGTTTATTGTTACCGTAGTGTTGCATTTTAGCGATATTATCAATACAGTATATATTAGTCTTCCTCAGAGATACCAAAAAACTGCGTTTCGAATTTCTATTGATATTTCGCACAGAGCCAGTCCTTAATTAGAATAGTTTATTGTAAAATGTTCAGATGACTTTATTTTTGAAACTCGAACGCCTTTCGATAGTTAGGTATGTTCTCGTGTAAGATATATGTTATTGATTTAAACTTACACTTGCTGTTTCATGTCGTCCGGTCAATCGTCGTTCATTATCTCTTCCATAACATTTTATATGTGCTTCGTGACGTAATTCAAGTGCTTTGATTGCTTTATCGATAGCTCTGAAAACAAAGAATTTCTTAAGCAAGATGCAATGCAGAAGTGTTTGCATTTATGTCAAACGCTGTTAGACTATGCTGTCTTCTTTCCATTCAATTAAAATATTTTTTTGTTAGAAAGAATAATATGCTAACTATAAAACTCTGTACTAGAAATACTTGGAACATTATAGTTGTTCTTTTTTTGGGTAATAGAAGAAAATGAGAAAACAGTTTCTAAGATCTTACATATTTCAAACAAATAAATCTCATTGTTTGCTGATGTCAACACTATTGTTGATATCCTGAATTCTCTTTTTGTATTACTTGTTAAAATCCCATATCTGTATTTGAATGGTTCGCTGCTTCTTAGATTTGTCTTCAAAAATTACTCTTTTGAAAAAACAAAGAAAAATATTGCTAGGCTTAGAATATATCAATACAGTATAACAACGTTTGACATAGTTTCAAAAATTGTCGCATCGTATATTACTTACTCGATGCCATTAGGTTGACGCATAGCTAAAGTTGAAAAATTAGTATGACATCCAGCACCATTCCAATCACCTGGAATAGGTTTTGGATCAAAACTAATTTGTACACCAAACTCCTCAGCAATACGTAATAATAAATAACGTGACATCCAAAGTTGATCACCAGCATCAACACCTTCACATGGACCAATTTGATATTCCCATTGAGCTGGCATTACTTCGGCATTAGTACCACTAATACTAATACCAGAATATAAACATGCTTTGTAATGTGCTTCCACAACATCACGACCGAGTGCTTGATTTGCGCCAACACCACAATAATACGGTCCTTGAAAAAAGTACGAAAAAAAAACAAATGATATCTGTTACATCTATAGGTTCTTTTTTTATACTAACCTTGTGGATGTGGAAATCCACCTTTTGGCCATCCAAATGGCCAACCATCACCATCTAAAAGTGTATATTCTTGCTCGAGACCAAACCATGGTTGTTGATCATATGCCGCTTTCATCGCTTCAACGCATTTGAATCGTTTGTTTGTAGCTTGAGAAAAAAAAACATCCTATTGACAATATTCTATGATAATGTTTTATTTCTTACCAGTTGGTTCTTTATTGTATTTATATGTTTCACACATAACTAATATATTTCGACCAAGCATAAATGGATCT